TGGACTCTTATATGCTAGAAATAATTTGAGCTTCTTATTTGCAAATTTTTTTGAATTATCCGATGCTCATATGCCGAATTAGCAAAACAGAAACTAATGCATGTTGGTCCTTATCGGGTCTGAATACATAAGAACTTAAATTATGTTGGTTATCTGAACTACCTTGACATATCTGCTACTCATTTATATGTAGTGCTTCTTATAGTAGCTGCAAAAAAATCCCCCACTGGTCCAGTGAGTTTGAGGGACCTAAAATTCAGAAAAAGTTCAAACTGTACAGAATTCTAACCGTTTAGGTCTGCCTCTGCCAGAAGAGCACTCTGTGATAAGTTCTGGGAACTCTTCCAAATCTGATGGCATTCGGATGAGAGAATAATCAACTCCCTGCTAGTCCTTGTTAGAGTACATTAGAGGCCTATTGGGTCTGGGCTGACGGCATAGCACGTTAATGATAGAGTTAATTAGAGATAAGAGTTATTTGCTTAGAGGTCAAGTAAGCATTGTTTGTAAGTCAAGTAAACCTCTCTATATAAGAAGATGCGATGTATTAATCTAATCAAGCAAGAATTAAGAACATCAAGGCCGCAGCCCCACCTCTCTTGTAGGCAGGACTGTCTCTCTTCAAGCTGCTGGATGGGGGCCACCTTCGTATTAACATCTTGTCTTATGGAAGAATAACAAAACGAGCCGATGTGTAAAAGGCTTGTTTTTAGGTGTTAGGTTTGTGTCGAGTCGAGTTATCGTTATAAGTTGGTTAGGTTGCAGCTCGAGGACGAGCTGCATGTCCAAGTGGGGTGTAGTGTTAGAGTACGTTAGGGGTCTATTTGGGCCTAGGCTGGCGGCATAGCCGGTTAGTATTAGGGTTAATTAGAGATAAGGGTCGTTTGCTTAGGGGTTAAGTAAGCCTACCACCCTTGATGATTTGAGAGCAAATCTCTTTCAGTTCAGCCTTTCTTCTGTTAGTTTCTTCAGGCATATCCTGTTCAAAAGATGAGTCAGGATATTTATTCTGTATGAACAGTACATTGAATCTTAATAGCATACTGTCAGGCTTACAAGTTATTCCGGTCTGAGCTTGGTTGTCTGCTGTTGCTTTCTCACGTTGGACAAAAGCAGCAGCTACCAGCTGGTGGGGTGGGACCGTGGGAGTTCATTTGGGAGCCTGAATGCCTGATTCAACGCATCGTGGAGACATCTGGACAGGGGAGCAAATCCCAAGTGAAGTGATGCGCGCAACGGAGATGAGTGTGAAGGTATGTAACTGCTGGTTGTCCACAGCCTTTAATTTGCATTGGAGAGTAAACTCGATCCTCTGTTGATTGGAGAAAGCGGTGCTTGCTGCTACTGCTGGAACTGAGGATTCAGGATAGCTAGCTGCCTTGTGAGAAGGTGAAAACATAGCACCCTGATCAAATCAACATTACTATAACTCGGGGACGACGATACCATTTCGGCAGAGAAGAGATCATCCGGATTTGATGGATTCAGGGACTTGGTCCGAGCAGAGTGGTTCCATGCGGATGAACTGAATATCATAGGTCATTCATAAGTCGGGAATAAAGATTTTGGCATGCATCAAGGAGTAGTCATATCCCTTGCTCGAAGGGGACATTGGTGGCCTGGGACATTACCGCTGAAACTGATGACGGGGAACCGGGCATTAAGCTCATTGTTGCAGCCATCTCCATAGCAGTTGTTGCTCAAGACCTTGGGGATGGCACCGGCCGATGGGCGTTGTTCATCACTTGTCTGTGGGCAAAGAAACAGACACGGCGTTACAGCTTGTGTCATCCTTGAGCCAGCACTCAAACACTACTCCCTCCATCTCAAATTAGAAGTCATACCAAGAATCTTGGAGAGTTAAAGCATCTTAAATTTGACTAAATTTACATGATAAGATAATAACATTTATGATGCCAACTAAGTATCATTAGATTCTTCGTCAATTATATTTTCATAGTATACCTATTTGATTTCAAAATTTTTTATAATTCTCTTTATAATTTTAGTCAAACTTGAGATGTTTTGACTCTCCAAGATTCTTCGAATGATTTATAATTTGGAATGGAGGAGGTAGGTATCTCCTATGTTTACTGTCTAAATGCTGTTGCTATTACTACTTTTTTTTTATTTTTTTTATTAGGAGGCACCATCCAATGCTTGAGCTATTTATAGCACCTGCTTAATGCATCGGTGAATTACGAAACATCTATATATTCAGGCTACATGGCTTACAATTAATTTAAATTTGTAATCACTAATGCTTCGCATCAATGGGTATTAACTTTAACAATAAATTTCAATTTGTAATCACTGATGCTGAAATCTTAGACGGTGTATCAAAGCTATTACATTGTTTGAGTCCAATATTTTACTACAGTTAGTTGTATAGCTCGTGTAGGTGTCATACCTGCCAGTAAGACACACTTTGCATATGTCTAATGCATGTTTGAAAAGTTTTCTAAAATAATAAAGTTAACAACAGAACCAGGATTTGCATGTACGATGCACGTGGCACAACAGAATTAGGTTTGTGAACTAAAGTATCCAGCAAGCTTGTAATGAATTTAGATTCTAAATGGTCAATTTGTGTGCAAAATGCATGGACCATAACCCACAAATTTTAGTTTGCTTTTTATCTTACGTTGGAATATTCTCATTCCCTTCGATTTTTTTTTCTGGTTGTGCTGCATTAACACCAATCTGAAAAGTTTTCAGATCATGTGTCCCATTTCTTTTTGATATTTTGGGGCCCAGAAATAGGCCTCTCACTAATTTTGTTTGATATTCTATTGATTTTCCCAACAATGATGTTGTCCAGGTTAGATAATGAGCTAGTAGAGCATATATCTTTATGAGTAAATATTATTGCCAACTAGATATCAAACTCTAACAACACATATAGTACAAAAACTAAAACTATGATATATTTACGAGTAAATATTTTTGTGACTTACAACAAAAGATAACAAATTTATTAAGGTTGTATTTTAATTCGATACAAACTTAACAGGACATTGCAATATTATTGCAAATATTAACTTATATTATTGATGCCATGGTCATCGTAAAATAAATTATAGCTTTTAAATTTTATTTTATAAAAAAATAAAAACTTGCATTAATGTTTGATAGCTTTTTAGGTAACTATGTGAATGTGAAAATTGTTTCTATTCATGTTTGTCTAACTTTTTATTTTATATGGAATATGCAGGGTATTTTTTAGGTAACCTGAATTGCTAGGAATCCTAATCCAAATAGATGTCTCTTATCTTCAATAGCGTGAATAGAAATCCAAATCCAAATAGAAAAAGATAAGAGTAGAAATTATTATTACACAGTAATATTAAACCATGAATAGTTGTTTTAATCCGAATATTAAACACGATAGTTTTTATCTCTTTTTTCATTTTTATGTCCCATATATGCAGTTTCTGCTTGCTCCATTTTCTATTTTCCATGTTCGCTTCTATTTTTTTTCTTTTTTTGTCTGTTTTTCGTGTCTGATGCAGTTTTTGTTTGCTCCGTTTTTTTTTCTTGTTTTCCATGTGACCATGTTCGCTTTTGTGTCCGATGCAGTTTCTTTTTTCTGTTGCTCTGTTTCCTGTTTTTCATGTATGCTTCCGATTTGTTGGTTATGTTTGGTTATATGTAAGCCCTCTCGTTTGGTTTTGTTTTTTTTTTCTAAAAATAAATGATAAATATAATATTATGAGCCATTTGAAATTTTGACTCTTTCCTAAGAAACAAAGATTTCTACTACTGAATTATTGATCTAGTTTTGATTAGAAACAAAATTTGTTATTAAATTTGGATCAGCTCATAGTCTAATTAGTTAAGTCATAAACTTGAATCTTTAGTACTTTGTTATCTAATCCAGGGTATCTCTGTAATCCCGCTGAGGACTTGAGGATGAAAACTGAGAGATGTAGTCCAACATAAACATCAACGGATAAATCGATCCTTGACACATCGGCAACTAACTCCTTGCGGACTTTAATTAGAGATTAGAACTAATTTTTATGGAACCTCAAAGAAGGTCATGGAACTCAATGTAACTATAGCAACACATGGATAGTATGAAAATTAAAGTTATGATTACGTCTAAATAAGTCTATGCTTTGTAATAGGAGAAAAAATCTATCAATGTTGTATTTTAATTAGATACATGATATACATGGCATCATTGTATTATTGCTAGGGCCCTGTTCGCTTCGCTGAAAAGGCATGACTGAAAGTACTATTCTTTGATTTGTTGTGAGAGAAAAACGCTGTTCCTCCGCTGAAACAGTACGGCTCATAAGACAAGCAAACAGGGCCATTATGGTATCATGGTCATTATAAAATAACTTATAGCTTTTAAATTTTATATAAAGGTTTAGGGATAACGTGGAGGCCAGACGAAAATTTAGAAAGAAAATTTGCCTCTTTAGTATTTAGTATATAGATTATTATTATTATTCCATTCGTTCTAAATTATAAGTCGCTTTGATTTCTTTTGGTACATCTATTTTGTTATGTATATAGATAAATAATATGTCTAGATATATAGTAAAATGGATGAACCAAGAAAGTTAAAGCAACTTATAATTTGGAAGGAACGGAGGCAGTATATTATTATTATCATCGTAGATATAGATATATCAGTCCTGTTGTTGTTGTTCTTTTATTAAATATTTGATAGTTTTTACTCTCGTCGTAAAACACGGACATATTTTTAGTGTAGTTTTTTTAATACTAGGTAGAAAGTAGAGATAGAAAACTCCGGGTCAAAAGCCAAGCCAAGCCTGAAGGGAGGGCCCAATTCGAATTCCAGCAGGCTGTCGGTTGGGTTCGGAATCGGACGGCGGCTCTCTCTTTCGATCCGCATCCGGGGCTTCTTCTCAGCCGCCGCCGCCGCACTATATAATAAATTAGAGGAAACAGCAAATCGAATCCACGAGATCGAGAACAGGATACAGGTAGGAGAGATCTCGATTGGTTGGTTGTAGTGGTCGGTCATGGCCGCGGCAGCGCTTCTTCGATCTGTTGCGAGCAAGATGCTGTCGCGTGCAGCTGCAGCCCCGACGCATCATCGTTCTCTTGTCGCGCGTGGACTCCATGGCGGCGCTCGCTCAGGGCCTCCTGCTACTTATTCCTTACACAGCAACCAGGTCCAGGTATGCCCGCCCTGCCTGCCTTCAATCGGTTTGAGACCTAACTAACTATTATTTACTATTGCTTTGCTATTGATGCATGTGATCCAGCAAGGGACGGCGGATGTTGTTCATAACCAGGTGTGGTATCGTCTTGTCCATGGCCGTGGACTTCATAGCCGCACCTGCACCTCCCCTGATCTGATTCCTTCCACGCCGCCAAAGGTCAGCCATGCTGCTCGTTGTTCAATTTTATTTTATTACCTCCGGATCCGGATCCATCTCTAATATAATTCGGCGATCATTGTTTTGTGTATCTGTATCTTCATTCAGGTTCTTCATACTACTGCACTCGCTAAGGCTAGAGCCGGTGTGGCTTACACTGCACTGTTTGGTACCTTGATTTACTTGCATTTTTGGGCCAAGCCGGCGCAGGAGGAGGCGATAGCCATGTTTGAGACTCTCTATAAGCAAAGGTCGGACCTTATCAATAGCCTCCAAGCCATTATCCATGCACAGCGGGAAATGCTTGTCAAGCTTCAGAATACGCACGTCTCTTCTGTTTCTCATCAAACTCCAAGCGTGCTAGCCTCAGGTATATTGATTAGACAATATCAAAATTTCTTTTTTTCTTCATCAAGTTTGAAACCTCAGCGTCTTTGAGACTTTGACAGCACAATCACCACTCTTTCTTATATCAGAAATGATACCACGAGTTTGTATTTCCAAGTGTTTTGTGTGAACATGGTTTTGTAAGAGACTAATATCAGGGAACATTTAATGATTGAGTCCTTTGATGCATGTATTACTACTATTTTACATCTTGCCATTTCATTTGAGAGAAAAAAAAAGGCACAAATAATGCTGCCTGCATTGTCGGCACTTTGTTTTAGTTGCTTTCATTTCATTTTAGCTGTGTGCAGTGCTAAGATGTATGTTGTGTTTCACTTTGGTAGCACAATTACTAATTATTTGTTGTTATATCATGCAGGACATGTTGACGCCACCGACCAGGGAACAGGGGCTATTGACAAGTTGGGCAAAGAAGAAGCCGTGAAGATGATGCATTCCCAGGCAAATCATGTCAAGGAGCTCGAAGCTGAAATCGCCGAGCTCAAAATTGCATTGGATTCAGCTCCTTCTCAAGGAAAGGTGTAGATGAGAGGGGAGCATTAGAATCGGTTTGGTTGTTTAAGGAATCGTGTAGTTGTTAGTTGTCGAGGGTGTCGATAATTTACTTACTATAATTAATATATATGTGTGTGTTTGTGTGTGTGTAATCGCTAAAAGATGGTTCACCCTGTCAAGGTTATATATGATCTTTGCACTGACTATGTAGGCGGTGTTCCATGCGTTGCAACAAGCATACAAAATTTGCATGATCTTTTTTTTACTGGAGATTTGTTTATTTTAGCAACACTGGTTTTGGTATAACCGTACAAGTATGTTGGTGTTGAGACTTGAGAATTCCGTCCTTCGGCAATTGTGCAAGTATTTTGCTATTCAGTCAGTGTTCTCATTTCGAAGACATAAGCACAGGACATTATTTATTTATTAGAACCAATAACTGGAAAATGTGAGACTTTACTGAATTGAGCCTTTGTGAACTTATATCTGGTTTGGCTAGTTTCCTATGTTATTATATTATTATTAGTTGGTCCTAACTAATGGCGCATCAGAATGAGGCAACGAGAAATTAGAGTACATGGATGTGATGGCTCATATAAGCATGACTTTTTACTGTTGTGCTAACATAACATTTAGAGGGAAGCACAAGACAGCAGCATGCATCATGAGCCAATAAACCCCAGGGGCAAAAATTAATCTTATCTCATATTTTTTTATATATAGTATATGATGAAAGGAATTGACACAAATTGGATGTCAAGTTGACACTATCATCATCACATTCAATACTTTATTATAGTCATCAAATTTCCAATTTACAATCTCATTCAGGCACAGCACAGCATTCCCATTCAGAGCCTGCATGTGCTGGGGCTCGCTCGCTGTTGGCGGCCTCGTCCAGTCCAGACCAGAAGAAGCCCATAGGCAGTTGATGGGCCATGGCCTCTGCTGTTGAAGAACCGGCATCACAATGTTCCTATGACCAGTTCTGTTCCGTTCCGTTCCGTTCCGCCCTATTATATCCCGTCCCCGTGCCGACTGCCGAGCCCGCCCCTTCCGTGCCGGAGCCGACATACGAGGGGAAATAGCCTTTCTTCGGATTCGACTCGATTGGATTAGATTTCTTTTCTCTCTCACCTCTAACATTAATCGCCAGGACGAAAGACGAACAGCATCCATCGCTGCTGCTGCTAGGCATGGCAATGGCAGGAGCAGGGCTCCTTTGATCTGATGCAACCAAGATGGCTCGCCTTCCATCTACACTGCAACACCATGGCCATGGCCATGGCCGGCTTCCAACAAGTTCGAATCGCCTCTGGCTTTCTAGCTTCTCTGGTTCCACCCCACACCCAACCAACGTCAGGGTACAAACTCAATGTTTGTATGCTCTTCCATTTGATTTCGTAGCCCTTCCTTCTATTTCGTCGTCCTCTACAATCAACAATCAATCCATACATGTTACTTGCCAATCTTTTTTAGTCAACACCGGGTAGCTGAGATGCTCCACTTCAATATGTTTCCACAAATTCCAACGAGTCGTTAATGGAGGGTGTAAAGCACCTAGTACATGGGCAACCCTTTGAAGGGTCCAACATGGTAAAAAAAAGAGAGGAGGGACAAAGATGTCAACCACATCACCACCACCACCAACACAACATAAACATAGAGAAACACCAGCAACCACAAGTAGAAGTGGCAAAGTTACAACTCCCACCATGGAGACATGTCGTCGGACGCCGAATAATGCACCACCAATAGTCAAAGCACCACGAGCTCCATTCCACGGGCGTTTCTAAGGCACTGAGTAAAAAATGACACGTGACGGCCGTGAAGTACATCTTCTATGGAGATCCAGGACCAATCACCTTCCACCTACGTCCCTAGAGGGGATGAAGCCTCGAGGGTTGGGGACTGACGATTGGAGAACGAGGAGATCCAAGAGCGGGGATCATGGTCCCGCTAACCCAGCGTATGGTGAGAAGATGCAGGACACCGACAATAGACACCATCCAGCAAGCAGCTTGTACCACAGTATAAGGAGTGCAAGGAGGGCCCTGTAAGAAGGAAAGTTGTGGTAGGTCTGAGCTGTCCCCTCAACGGTGGCACCCTCAAGAAGAAGGACATGACGTCGTTGACGCTGCCACCACCGGCTCTAGATAACCAGATCAAGTTTTCACCGGGAGGAGAGGGGCAATACTACAATTATAGGAGGCTACATCGACGCCTCCAAGGAGGTAAACGGCGCCGAAGGCCGGGCATCGTCGGCGATCGCACAGCTAGGTCGTGCATGGCTTTCGCCTAAGCTCCCCAAACCCATGAACTATAGCCCACCATCTCAGAGACCAAGAGGACGAGCCCCGGGCACGACGACGCACAATCTTCACAGCTACAGGGTCACAATCCTTCATTCGCGCAGATGATGCTGCATACTTCCTTGATGATGTCATCTGTGCTGCTGAGGGAGCTAATATGTACAATGATTTAGTGAAGTAGCTTCTGATGGTAAGGCAAAAGGCACGGGAACCCAAAGTTGATGGAGAACTCATCTTTGCATATGCTAAGATTGACAGGCTCAGTGACATTTGAGGAATTCATTATTATGCCAAATGTTGCCAATTAACCTTCAAAATGTTGGTGACCGTCTGTATGATGAACTATACGAAGCTAGCTCCTAAGATCGTCTATGTCTTCATCTCAAACTGAGCTAAGCTGGCTGTTACCCACTTACCCTGGTTAAGCTGAAGCAGTTCCAAGGTGCTGTGGATGCTGCTCGCAAGGCTAACAGTGCTAAAACATATAAGGAGGTCTGCTTTCTTGCGTGGACGCTGAGGAGTTCCGTCTTGCACAAATATGTGGTCTCAATATTATTGTTCAGGTATACAAGTAGGAGCGCATACTGATTTTTTTTCTAGTCTCTGCTTTATAGCAAAGTTTCCATGATATATTTCTTTCTGACATACCTGCTTTTGTATTTTTGTTTAGGTTGATGACTTGGAAGAAGTCAGTGAATACTACCAGAATAGAGGATGCTTCAGTGAACTTACTGCTCTCATGGAGAGTGGTCTTGGACTTGAATGTGCACACATGGGCATCTTCACAGAATTGGGAGTTCTATATGCTAGATACAGCTCTGAGAAGCTTATGGAGCACATCAAACTTTTCTTGTTTGCCAGGGCCGGGGTCTAGTAGTTTTTGTTGTTGTCGTTTTTTCTTTCACCTAGGAGTCATTAGGGGTTTGCTTTCTTGTTTTGGTATTTCCTTTGACCCCGGCTGAGGCTTTAGTTGCTTTTTCTAGTACTGTGTTTTTTTCCTTTACTCGTCTAATAAAAATTGCGACAAAGCTCTTGCCATACTTTCAAAAAAAAACTTTTCTCCACCTGTCTCAATATTCCTAAGCTTATCCGGGCTTGTGATGAAAAGCAGCACTGGAAAGAACTCAGCTTGAGAAGCATGAATTGCTGGAGATGAGGAGGATTGCTACCTACATTTAGAAGAAGGCTAGCAGGTGGAAGCAATCCATTGCCCTTTCCAAGAAAGACAACATGTACAAGGATTGCATGGAGACATGCTCACAATCTGGTGACCGTGAACTGTCAGAGGATTTGCTTGTCTATTTCATTGAGCAGGTTTGGTTCAAACCCATTCTATTGATTGATGATATGAGACTAGTGATAAGCTAATTCAATACTATATACACCAAAAGGCTTAGTCTGTCTGCTTGGCATGGCATTCTGATTAGTAAACACATACAATCATGAAACGCAGGGTAAGAAAGAATGCTTTGCTTCCTGCCTCTTCATTTGCTACGACTTGATCCGGCCGGATGTCGCTCTGGAGCTTGCATGGATGAACAACATGTTGGACTTTGCCTTCCCATACCTGTTGCAGGTAACTTATTTCGGTCCATTTCTTTGCTAATGTTTATTTACATACTGTTTACTATAGTAACTAACATCCGTGCTGCGTGTGCAGTTCATCCGTGAATACACTAGCAAGGTGGATGATTTAGTGAAAGGCAAAATTGAGTCGCAGAAGGGAGAAAGAGCCAAAGAGAAGGAGGAGAAAGATCTTGTGGCTCAGCAGGTAACCTAATACGGCTCACATGTTTTGTTTGTGTAATCAATCATCTCAACCTGAGGCATTGACATGACAAGTTGCATTCTGTTGTGCTGTGCAGAACATGTATGCGCAACTGCTTCCTCTTGCTTTGCCTGCTCCGCCAATGCCTGGCATGGGTGGTCCTCCACCTCCGATGGGCGGAATGGGTATGCCGCCGATGGGCCCAGGTCCGATGCCAGCATTCGGGGTGCCACCAATGGGAAGCTACTAAGTTGTTTTTGCAGAGAGTTTAGATGATGATTTGAGTTGTGTAAGCAGAAGATTTTGAGTTTGTGTAAACAGATGTGGAACTTCATTGGAGTTGTAGATGGTTACACTTTGGAATTAATATTCTTTTTGGTACCAGAAATTTTTGGCGAGTGAGTTTGAGAATTGCAACATGAGCTGTTGAAAGCTGGTACCACTTGTATAGTGTGATTTTGCTTGTATAATACTTGTACGAAGTATATTGACGAGCAGTAAGATGTATCGAAGGATAATATGTTAAATTTTATTATTACCAATAGCATCCGGCATTTTATTTTTTTTCCTCACGAGCAGTGAATAATGTATATTGTGTTCCTTCATTTCTACTTTTAATATCATATCTTGTTTATTGTATTCCTTCATTTCAAATTATACAATATTATAGCTTGTTTATTTATGTAAAGGATTATGACACTTTTATAGACTCGGTCAAATGATTTGTATTATTTAATTAATTATTTAGCCCGGGTTAAATTCGTATCTGGGGTATCTGGGCCGGGTCAAATCCTCGGTTGGGCCGCAGCCCAGGCAGTCCTGGCAAACGAGTCCGCGATAACCCTCCCACCTAAAAACCGTGGCACCCCCCACCTCTCTCCTCGTGGTCGACCAATTTGCCGTTGCAAGAGGGACGCGCCCGCCGCGGTAATCACCTCCCGCGCTCGCGATTGGGCCATGGCGGCTCCGCTGCGCGATCTGCTAGGGGCGCACCTTCGGAACAAGGTATCGGTCCTTCTCTGCTTAGATTGGTTGCCTGCGTTTAACTTCGATCTGCAATTTCGAGTTCGAGTTCATCAGTTTTCCGGTAGTCGGCTGGCGGTGGGGCGGAGCCACAGGCTCGTGGTGGCGGTCGGGTCATAGTTCGCGGGTTAGGGTTTTGATTTTGCCCTATGTGATGACGCTGTTGACGCAGGTGGTGATCTGGTAAAAGGAGAGGAAAGATGCATGTGCCAGCTGTGCGGCTTTCTATTCCCAGCCGCCTGAACAATTTTCTATTCTTACTCTACTTTGTTTATGCTTTGCCTCGCTTTGATCAGTGATGGCTTGTAAACAGCATGCTTCGGTACTGAACAATTGCCTATTCTTACTCTACTTTGTTCTATGGTTTGCCTTGCCTTGATCAGTGTTGGCTTGTAAACAGCATGCTTGGATTCTCATAAATTAGATTTGCCCGAATAGGTTTAAGTTTGGAGGCATATTTGTGGAACTTGATGTACCAATCTTATCTACAACCAACTGGTTTTCTTTGTCATTGGCAGTTAGTGCAGTTCTAACTTCTAAGAAGATCCTGGATTTGCATGCTGTTGTGAATGAAATATGACCATTCCTTTATGTGATCCTATTTTCATTTTCTGTGATCTTAGTTTCAGGAATATTTCATGATATTTTGGGGAGCAATCACGGTTTAAACAATTTTTGTCTACATGTAAGATTAGAAACAGGGATGCTTATTTCATGTTAAACTACTAAATAATTATACCACAAGCTTTATTGTTCACTCCCATACTAAATAATTCTTAGTTGCTGGGTCCCATACCTCCCATACTCCCATACTTTATGTGAAATTCAACCTTGGTATAAAGCGGAGTTAACGCAGAACTTTACGTCGTATTGGTTTCTTTTTGTGCCCTTGGATTTCAGATTTAGGAACTACATGCTGGCTTTCTTTACAAATATTGCACTTTTCGTAATTCTTGTTCTCTTTATAATGTAGCATGCAATTATTAATGCAAGCATCTATCTTTATGGATGGCATTTTTAGACCCCTAAGCATATATAGTCTTACACTGATACAAATTTGAAGGCAATTTGTGGCCCTTGGGCAATATTATCACCAAATAACTTAATCACATCATCCATGCATTCTGCTGTTCTGGGACGGATCTGGCCCCGGGCTGGGGGGCTACAGCCCAGGTCCACCCCTCAAAACATGGAGAGAGAATTCCTTGTGTGCCCCCCAAAAAAGTGACAGCTGCTTCTATGCCCTTCAAATAATCATTTTGACTTCTGTACTCCATTTGAAAAAATACATCCCTCTGGTGCCACAGCCGTCGACTTTTGCTAACGTGCCTGTTAACTCGTGGTGGTGAAGTCTATTTTGCCCTCGTATGTATGTGCTGCAAAGAAATTTATTATCCCCTGGATGCCACTAGGCCGGAAATGAGCATTGGCTGTACTGCATGATTGAAAATGTATGCAACTCCACTTAATGAATGAAAGAGTTTGCAACTGAGTCATGGGTGAAACAAGTTCACAGCTCCAATTAAACAACTTCAGAATTTCCAATAAAACTAGAGTTCTCATAAAACTACTTCACAACTCCAATGAAACAAGTCACAGCAGCATGTCACAATTCAGTTCACAACCTTACATGGGTGAAACATGGAGTTCAGAAGTTGGCATGGCACAATTCACAGTTCACAGCAGCATGTCACAATTTAGTTCACAACCTTACAGGTCACAAAATATGCATAAAGTAGCACAAAAGTTTGCCAGTAGGTGACTAAATCAGACATCATCCTTGTAAAAAAAAAATCAAACATCAAGCTTCCTTTTACTCCTAGTGCCCATGGCTGGACTTGATGGGGCGCTATTGACCTTGCTTCTTGTGCTCATAGCTGGACTATCTAGAAGAGCAGGTTGAACATGCTCCTTCTCTTGGATAGTCACTTTTTTCTGCTTCTTGACAGTCTCCTTCACAGGCTCATTCATAAGATCCTTCAATGACTTCTTCTTGACAGCCTCCTTCTTTTCCTGCGGCCTCCTTACAGGCTGCATCTTCTCTTGCACAGCCTCTCCCACATGCATATGCTCTGGTAGTATAATGGAAAGGGGCACAGGTGGCGTGTTGTTCGACCCTGATCCTGACCTGCATTTGTTTGAAATACTAGATGAGATGACTTAATATTTTCCTAGAATTATGCTTGAGGATTTTACCTGGTGGAATTAGTAGATCCAGATTTTGCTGCTCTCTTTCTTTTCTTTGTTGGCACAGAAGAACCAGAAGCTTGTTCACTCTTTGTTGGTGGAAAGCTCATTGTTGGGGCTACTGCAAGCACTATACTTGTTTCAGTAGTGACTGGTTGTACTTTCTTCTGCCTCTTCTTTGGTGGACCCCTACACCACATCAAAGACAATAGAGAACATGAAAGTTAGAACATCAAATTCTGCTAAAAAAAGTTAGAGAATCAAATATAATAGAGAGCACCTCTCAGCAAGTAGTGCAACAATGTCAGCTGGATCACCACACTACAAGAAACACCCCCCTCTAGACACGTTTTCTTTGTGACGCTGGTTGAAAGCGTATGTACATGGGCACGTAACGACGCTTCTAAGCACGACTTTGGAAACATGTCAACTGGATACGACATTTGACACGCTTTCACTGTTACAAGACATGTAAAGACACTTCTCGAGACGATTTTGGAAATGTATCAAAATGACACGGTGTTAGACATGCTTTTAATCGTCAATAGCGTCTAGACACGTTATAAAGTGTGTCATAACACCGTCCATATATATCTAAACACACTAATTGACACGATACTAAAAACGCCACAAAATGTTACAGATATAGAGATGCTTCATATCGTTTGTACCATCTAGACACGTCACAGAACGTATCAAATAATTGTTTATAGGCACGTAAAGACACCTTTTGATACGATAATAAAAACATATCAAGCTAACACAAAATTAGAGACTCTATTTGACCGTTACATGCTTGTAGATATGTGATAAAGTGTATCAGCTTACCGTCAATAACTATCTAAAAATGCTTTTTTTGAACATGTAGTGTTGTGGTAACCTTTCCCTAATTCTCTACACGTGGTCAAGAGATCAAAACTTCCTTGCCTGTATTTTTTCCATATTATTCATAAAAAAATGTTCTCACACTCAACATTCCATAATTTTCTCGCAACAATTCAAGCCAAATAAAATACATGTTTTTCCCCATATTTTTCCAAAATTTTCACACGCTCAACAATTTCATAATTTTCACTCAAAGATTCAAGCAAAAGAAAACACATGCTGCTTTTTCAATCATATGACTAGCCTCAATTTCTCAATCATACGACCAATCTATAAATTACTGGACTCAATTTCTCAATAATTCAAGCATTACATGTGAGTGGCATTGATTTCTCACTTAGACCACCAATTGTAAATGAAACTTCTTAAAAAACATATTACAAAGAAAACACATGCTAGCAGCCTACAGAAACTAAGATGCTCTTCGATCCATCATGCAGGAACACATCCATCACCTGGGTGAAACAGAGCAACACACACCCTCCTGCATAGACAAGAGTAACCTGAAACAAATATGCCTTGTAATAAGTGCAACCTGAATAATTATTATTATATTTATGTATGTCAAAATTAGTGGCACTCAATTGTCCACATACTCTCTCAAAAAAAAAGCCTGATAATACCTGAAAGCCAGTTAGTCTAATTTGCTTCATCCGGTGGCAGTTCATCATCACCCATGTCAAAAGTATCTCGTGGCTTAAATCTTACCACAGAATTCCATCCTTCAGCTTTTGGGTGTTCAACATAAAAGGCTTGCTCCACTTGTGAAGAAAAGACACTGGGATCATGCTCCAGTTTTTCCCCAGTGTGTATTTTCTTTGAAAAATTCACAAGTGGTAATCCAAACTCATCGTTTCGTAAACCAACACGATGATGGACATCATACCAATCACATTTGAAAAGAACAACCTTGTAGTCAGTGTATGTCAGTTCTATTATATCTGTTAATCTGCCATAATAATTAACCCCATCTTCTGCAATGTTCACTACACCACTATTTTGTGTCGACCTTGCAGCCTCACGACTCAGTGTGTGGAACCTGAAACCATTAATAATATAGTCATTTGTATCTCACACCATGTTTGCTCGGTTTGGCGTACCAAAGCTCGAACTTTTTAGTGATTCCTAGTCCATCACCTAGGATAACCTGTAGTG